AATTATTTTTATCATCTGAGAGATGATTTGAACCCAGTTATCTGACTTGCAAACCAAAGCTAGAATCCCAAAGGAACACACAGGAATTAAATGGCAAACCCCAAATGAGTTGTGTGAACTGCTGATATCATAAAGCCCACAGAAAGCTGGTTGGCTCAAGTTAGAAAAATACTGATTCCTTCAGTTTATTTTCCACGTAAAACTTTGGTTTTAAGCTTCATAGCAATCCACTAAGATGACAAATTTAACCAGTAAGTGTCCTTTAGTCCCTGATCTCAATGAAGCTTCTTGATTGTACAGATGATGAGGAAAGCTGATGAACCATTTTTGTGGTTTAAAGTTTCATGTTTAAGGGAGGAGAAAGGTTTAAAATCAATCAACAAACTTCTATTTGGCACTGCTACATGAGGAGCATCAGGCTGGATGCTGCAGGTAGTCCCCAAGATCAATGACAGGATCCTTGCTCTGGGGGCAGCATGGTGCCATGGAAAGGGGCCTAAGCTTTGGAATGAGAGAAATCCAAATTCACCTCCCAATTCTGAGTGACTTTAGGCAAGTCAGATAGTAAAACAGGAATAATGATCTTTGTAAGATAATTGTGAGGTTTATTGGAGATACCAAAGCATTTTGCACAGTGCTTGGAGCAGTAAGAAGTCAACAAGTGTTAGTTCTCTTCACTCTTGCTGTGCCTTGTCTGCTTTCATCTTGGGTCTCTGAATTCAGCCTAATGCCCACAAAAATAGAACAAAACATTCCTGAGATTGGGATTAGTGGGGAGAAGTCCTCTGACATGAAACTCATAGAAGGTTATCCCAATAGAGGAAAGGATGTTCTTTAATTTCCATAATCAGGAGTTGCAAATATTTTGTATATTAAAAAATAACTGGAAATAAAGTCAACATATATCTATGTACATATGGTCTTCTAAATTAATGGGTAAGAATTATTGTGCAAAAAAAAGTCCATTTTAAGGAGAAATAATATGTCTTTAGATGCATGGGGACTTGGTTGTGTTCAGGAAAAGCTGCACTTCAATCCAATTTTAGCCCTAAACAGTATCAGTTCTTAAAACATTTAAGAACTGCTGCTTGGGCAGGGTCCATAGAGGAAAAAAAAAAAAAAAAAAAAGGCAAGGAGAAAGAGAGGTAAAGAACACAGAGAAATCCAGAACTGATTGAAATGAAAGTCAGGGATAACTTCAAGATTTTCCTATTTGGGAATTTATGCCACCATTAGTACATCTGGGGGCCTTTAAAAATCTTGATGTCCATGACACATCCAAGACTAGTTAAATTAGAATCTGAGGTGGATCAGAACCCAGGCATCATAATGCTTTAAAACCACCCCTAAATTTTAATGCATTAAGGTTGAGAATAACTACCATAGTCAAAACATGGAGAAAGGGGATGAGTATAATTCTATTATAAACATAATGAGTTCAAGTTTCCAACAAAGCATCCAGGGAGGAATTAAAGACTGGTTCTCAGGAAGGAAAGAGCAGCTCAAAATTTTGGAGAGCCATTCATGCATTCAATAAGCATCCCTTAATGTCTGTTAAGTGTTATGATAGTGCAACAAACAGGGTCCTGTTGCCTTGTGAGGTTTATATCTAGGAGGCAAAAAACAGATTTCTAAACAAGTAAGTGGCATAAAATGTTGTGAACTGTAAGACAGAAATCTGTACATGGAACAGGAAAGAAGGGCTCAATTCTTGTGGGAGTTTTCAGTAAAGGCTTCAGAAAGAAGGCAGAAGGAAAAGGTAGGAAGAGGGAAATGTAGAAAGAGGAAAAATCAGAAGACCTTAGAAATGTGGGGAGGCTTTAGGCCTAGCATCCTGGAAAGGAAAATGGAATCAAATGAGTTCATTGAGAAGCAGCAGTCAGAGGAAAAAGAATGTAGCATATAGTGCCCTGAAAGGTAAGGCTGGCTAACAGGAACAGCCAACACGTGGGGCAGAAGGTAAAAGAGGATGACATTAGCTGTTAGAATTGATGATGGAATAGCTACAGAAATTAGTTTTCACAGTGGGAGAACTGGGGAGAATGAATACTGTTTGGAACTGGATCCATGGAAAAAGAAAAGGATAAAGAGAGGGCTAGAGACAATAGTATGAGAAGGGTTTTAGGAGGCACGTTTAAATATTAATATTAAAACAAAGAATACAGAGGAGGTGCCCTGTAGTAGGGAAAGTTTCAACCTCAAGGTTATCTGTGTTGCATTCTCCTCTTAGTCTGGAGCTGAATGGCCTTGGCTAGTTACTTCCCTTCTCTGGGTATCCCTTTTTTTCATCTATAAAATGATGGGACTAGGGACTATAATTTCTAAGGTCACATTCAACTCTGACAATCTAAAAATTTTAGTGGTTAAAAATAGAATCAAATGAGAGGACAAAAAGCTGCATAAATCATAATGTTGGGTCACCTTTGTCTTCGATACATGCGTACTTGTCATGTTTGGTCACCTTATTGTACAAGCACTGCCCCCTAAAACCCACTTTTTTCAAAATGTGACCTAGTTAAGGCTACCACCTACCATCTAAAGCTGTATCCAAGAGAGGTGGCATAAAACAGCAGTTAAGGTCACAGGTTCTGGAATCAGACAGTCCTTCACTAGCAATGTGACTGTAAAAAGTTACTTACTTTGGATTTTTGCTAATCAGAAAAATAAACCAATAAGCGTACTGTCTTGTAACCTCATTATGGGATTGAATGAGATAATGCATGTAATGTATCTAGAATACATTTAGCACATAGACCTAGCACAGAAAATATTAGCTCCTGAACAAAATATTAGTTCTTGAGCCAGTACAGAAATAAAGCAGGACTCTGTGCCAGCCAAGTATAAGACTACTCCTACTCCTATATTCTTCGAGTGGTCTCTTTTTGAGTTAAATAGATCCTTTAAAAAATGCAAGATGTTATACTCAATGGACAGATTCACCTAGTGGCGATAATACAGGCTTTATAATCAGGCTACCATGATTCAAACTCTAGCCAAGCCATTTATTAGTTTTATCTTTGTAAACATCAGATTATGTATTTGTAAAAATGAGGTTAATGCTACCTATCTCCTAGGATTGTGAAGATTAAATTAAGATAGATTTCCAGATGCAGGCACTTAGCACCTTTTAAATAAATGTTATTTTCTTTAGTTCTACCTAGCATCATGACTTATGCATAAATAAATACTTAGTAAATGTTCTTAAAATTGAAATTGTAGTAATATTTTGCTCCTGGTGTCCAGACATTTTACCCCTGTAGGATTCTGCTTGTTATCTGACCTGAACTTGGCTGGGAATTGGACTGCCCTGCTCCCAGAACATGCTAACATTGAGTAAGTTGATTTTCACCTCTGGAGAGGCTGGGGGTCATGGAGAACCAGCAGAGCATAGGAAAAGAAGGCTGCAACCATGATACCCTTGAGGGCACAGGGAGATAAAAGCTCCTGCTCTGGCATAGCTGAGATAGAACACTGATAGCACTCACCAACCTTAGTTCTGTTTACTCAACCATCATGTCCAGAAGACACTCCTTGCTGCTATTTCTCCTGTTCTCAGTGCCTCAATCCTGTAATGTAAGGAAATCAGACACAGGAAAATAAAATTGGGGGAAAAATTAAAAACTCCCACATAGAAGGATGTTAAAAATCTACACGGGTGCTTGGTTCCTTCCTAGTTCTCATTTTTCTCTGATGGAAGGCCAATGACACCGACACCAGCCTAAGCTAAAATTGGCTTTCTCTTTAAGGTTGCTTGATTGTAGGGTGCAGTAAAGGCAAAATATTTTGCTACAGGCTGTAGCATGGAATATAGATTTAAGTTGGTGATGTCACAAAAGTTTTCAACAGTGTCAGCAGAGGTTGTAGTCATGAGGAAGGAAGCCGATAAATGGCACCATCTGAAATTGCTACTCACTCTGGATAAGTAGGTGGGGAATATTACTTACAGGTAGGACAAATCCCATTATGAAAAATACGATCCCAACAAGAATGTTTCATTCTAGATTTTAGTATCCCAGGTTTTAGCTCGGCTAAGCCAAAAAAAATTATTAATAATACAGTTGGAGGTAAATAATAAATGTTAGCCCTTTAGAACACATTGCAATTGGTTTTGACCTCTATATTAAAATACATAAGACTAAGCAAGGACATAAATCAGATCAGGCCTTCCTGCTGTCCCTGGTAGCCATCTCCAGGGCCAAAATCCAACTTGAACTGGGTCCGAGTAGACTGCAGGAAGCAAGATCTACAAGCACAAGAAGCTTATCTTGTGGCTAATTGCTTCGCCTGGAGACACCCCACTCTCTAGCAGGCTCCGGAGGTTGTTAACATCTCTAATCCGATGTTAATTGAATAGAAAAGAAAAACAGGAATAAATTCCGGTTCTGAAAGGGCAGCTGGAAAGGTGTTGGGCGTCTCAAACTCTAATTTACATTCCAAAACAGGCCTAAGGCCAAACGTACTCCCTGCCAGGGGAAAAGAAAAGCCCCTTTCCCTCTTTTTAGAAACAGGCTGGAAAACATAGCTCCCAGGAGGTGGGGTTAGAAAGCAAGAGCCTGCAAGGTGGCGCTCTGTGGTTCCTCAGAAAATAGGGGAGAGACAAAGGGCGCCGGCTCCAGGAAAGGCCCTACACCCAAAGCCAACCCCTCCTCCTATCCATCACCTGCGGCTTTATAGCGCAGGACACGGCCTCCCCTCCCGGATCCGTGGGCCTAGCGCTGGTAGGGAGTAGACCATTCTAGTTATAAAATTTATTCAGTGGTTATTTATTTTGTGGATCCCAGACACGGGCCTAAGCAGTTTACATCCTCTCCTTAATTCTCACAATAATTCTGAGATTGGTGTTATTAACCTCATATTATCTTTTGTCTACAAAGGGCAGTGAAAGGTGCGCTGAGGAGACCGGCCATCGGCCCGGTGCGCGCGGCGGGGTCAGAGGCCGGGTCTCTAATTCCCAGGCTGGCGCTCCCAGGCCGCTGGCTCCTCCTGCGGGGGCAGAAGCCCACCTCGGTCTCAAGCGGGCGCCCGCGTCGCTCCCGCGGGCTCCTAGCGCCTGCTGCCGCCCGCCGGCCGCACCTGGAGCGGGAGCGCGGCGTTTTCCTCAGCCTCGCCCAGCGCGCGGCAGGTGCGCCAGGCGCCCCGGAGCCCCGCCCCCGCGGCTCTGCCCGGCGCCCTACGCCTCGTGCCAGCGCCCCGCAGCGGCCGGGCAGAACGCACCGCCCCCGCCGGGGCCCGGGAAGCGCTCGCTCGGGCGAAGAGGAGGAGCCAAGGGCACCGAGCGGGTGGAGTCGGGAGCCGAGAGCCGGGGAGGCGGATTTCCTGGGCCCGGCTCTCTGGGGCTACCATGGCGTTTGGCAAGAGTCACCGGGATCCCTACGCGACCTCCGTCGGCCACCTCATAGGTAAGGAGGAGCGGGCAGAGACGCCCAGGCAGGCTTTGGGGACCGCGGGATCCTCTCCCGCTGCGCTCCATTCTCGGCCTGCGGAGCACCGAGTTGGTCCAAGTTGGAGGAAATCCTTCCCCTCCCCCGGCAACTTCCCAGGGCACACTCGCTCCACCTGGGCCCTTTCCGGCATTTCTTTTTTGGCCAACTCACCCTAGAACCCCCTCCTGCTTAAAATGCACCTCCCTCTTGGTGTTTTCTGGGGAGTGGAACTAGGCAGGTGAGCCACACGGGATTTAGGCGTGATGGGTTTGGGCCTCTACAAGGAGACACCAGAAACTTCTCGGCGAGGGGAAGTTATTCACACAGTGCGTACACTCGAGGACACAAAAATGTTACACCCATTTTACAGATGAGGAAGAGAAGGCTCAAGGAGGTTAAGTGATGCGACCGCGCTCTGAGGAGAAGGTCTCTCCAAACCACTTTTCTCCAGCAGTGAATTTATGCAACCTGAACTGCTTTTCTGAGTAAACAAAGAATAAAAATACTTGGCATCGGAGTAAAGGAAGAGAACGGAGGAGCCATCTGGGGCCACAGAGGCCTCTGGGAGGCAACTAGAGACCACACCAGCCATCGACCTAACTCATTTCTCTCTCCCGTAGCCCTACTCTGAATAATGTTTGCGGAAGCACAAGCCAACGACTCCACTCTTTTTGCCAACCCCAGGTCCCTTTCTCTTCTTCTCCCTGATTTTTCTCTTGGGAACTGGGTGTGGCAGGAGTGCAAATTAATGCCAGGCAAAGTATGATGATGTCAGAAATCTCCTGAGGTGATGAAATCCTGAGAACTTGGTAGCTGTAGTAAGGATACTCAGATTTGGAGAATTTAGTTCGCAACTTAATTGACTGCTGTGTGACACTGAACAGACTATTTAACCTGAACCTTAGTTTCCACATCTTTAAAAGATGGTGAGGGTAGCTACCATAAAAAAGGAGATGCTTTCCAAACTGTTGATGGCTATACCTTGTTGGATATTGGCTATTAGAATGAACCCTGAGCAGAAACAGGTTCAGACTGCGTCTTTGTAGATAAAAGAATCCTGAGCAGTCTACCTGGCTAATTTTTTAATTCTGAGAATGTTTACTACCTGCCAGCCATATGCCTGGATGAGGCACTGGTGAGGCAATGGTAATACGTGGTCTGATAGTAAGTACTACATGGTACCCTTGCAATACAAGAAAAATGCACAGCACACAAAACTTATGCAAAGGGAGAAATGAATTGAGGAATGAGTAGGAGTTTTGTAGGAAGATGAGAAGATTGGGAGGAAGAGCCAGGAATGGAGTGGAAACATCTTGCAGACAGTATATGCCTATTGGTACAAGATGGGTCAGCTTTGTCATTCAGTGCCAAATTCAGAGAGTGCCTTCCCTTAGTTGGAAGCAAGCTAAACTTTGGGGTTCCCCCAAGCAAGCACTTACTCTTCCCCTTCTTTATCCTTTTGTTTTCTCTGCCTCCAGAATCCCATGTTTTCACGATTAAGGATCTTCATCTTTCTCATAGGATGGTGTTAAGCTCATTCATGTTAGGTGTTCTATTATCCTTTCCAGATAACATTTTGTAGTAAAGGGAATGTCTGGAGAGGGAAAGGTATCTGATTATTTAATTATGGGGTTCCAGGTACAGTGCATTCAAGTCTGCCTAGTGCAACTTAGGTTAATTTAGGTGCCAGAAGTGACCTTGCTCAGTAATTCTGATCTCTTCCTTTTTCTCACCCCTCCCCCACGGAATAAATGATTTTTAAAAACAAACAACATAGATTTGAATACTAGTTACAAACAACATAGATTTGAATACTAGTTCTACCTTATATACTGGCTGTGTATACTTGAGTTATTTAACCTCTCTGAACTTCTGTTTCATCATCTCTAACAGTGCATTAAGTCAGATTGCATAAGATAAAATACTTAGCACTGTGCAGTTCACCTTGTAGGTGGGTGCTCAGAAGCCCTAGTTTCCTTCTCTGAAAGTCAGGCAGATGGAGATTTAGCCAGCCTGTCCTGGCCCTGTGGCCAAATGTTGTGCTTGCATTCTTTATTAATAGGTCACTCATTACTGTTGCAGCAGCAGCACTCTGAACTTGGGTTCTGATTGATTCCTAAATTACTGGGAATTGTTCAGGAAAAACCCAACACTTTGCCCTTTGGTAATATAAACTTAATGGTACTTGGTAGTGCACCCCAGGCAGATTATTTCAGGAACAGCAGACATTTTTTATTCTGCTGTAGCTCAGACTCAACACAACAGGTTTTTCTTTGCAGAAAAGGCTACGTTTGCTGGAGTTCAGACTGAAGACTGGGGCCAGTTCATGCACATCTGTGACATAATTAACACTACCCAGGATGGGTGAGTACAGTGTAGTATCCATGTACTTGCCTCTGATAAAAAGCATCAGAACTACATAACGTTTTTTATCTTGCAAATGCTTTGGTTTTCTTGTTGAAAGGATGTTTTCATCACCTGTTAGGCACTCTCTACCTTTCGAAGACATGTCAGGCTAAAATATTGGGGCAGGTGCTTGCTTCAGCATGTAGAATATCTGTGAATCCATTATAATGTTTGTCCTCTCCTCTTTGCCTTTTCCTGAATAGTTTCAAAGTTTGTCTCTGTGAGCTCAGATTCTTTGTTTTTAAAAGATAAAATGAAGAGAAAGAAAGAGATTGTTTCCTTATTTAGGAATTTTTCCAGCTCCAATTGCCAGTGTGTTATGTCACTGAAAAATATTATCAAAAAGCTAGTTGACTCCTGGTGGTGCAATTGTTTTTATTAACCAGGAAACAACCTAGCAGTCTTTTTTTTCCTTTCTGTCACAGAACAATTTTTCTTCTTCTGAATGCCAACTCACCCATGTTTATTCTGTGTTCTTAAATGACATGCTGTCTTTTGTTACACTTTTTGAACTTTAGAGAATTGAAGTTATTAAAAAAGTTAATTAACAAGGGCCAACTAGTTTGAATTTAGTCAATTACAAGTTATTATGAAGGATGCAATTCTGATAATTTTCTTGTGCATTTTAAAGTGATAACTGACAGCAAAAGAGATTCAGTCTAGCTTATGTTGATGAAGAAAACATTACACTTAATTATCAGTTATCAAGCCATAGAAAGTGCTTATGGTTAATATTTTAAGTATTTATGGTTTTTTCCCTATAATCTCATTTACCATGTCTAGTTCCTTTGTTAACCTTTTCCTTGATAATACCGATTTCTTCATTGATACTACAAAAAGGGAGTTTTATAGACAAAGTATATTTTGACACTTTACTTGTAAATAGTTCTTACTTTGTAATATAAAACTGTAGTATATTGGAAGCTGACCTAGGTTGTTGTAATTCCTCTTACATCCTTTTGCCTATGGAGTGCTCAGAAAATACCAATAGTTTTAATTAAAATGGTAACTTTTATTATTTTGGAAGTTACATTTTCTTTAAATTGGTTCTGTGCATTGATAGAGGGATATGGGCATAAACATATTTTGTGGGTAGTGCTTTCTAGGTAATATTCTTTTATGAAAATATTTTATTTGATTCTCACAAGGCTGTAGGTGTCTGCCTATATCCATGAGGAAATTTAGTTTCATGAAATTATAATAAGTCATTTTCTTAGACCACCAAGGCCTTGGTGTTCTGTTCCTTAGCCATTTCTCTTTCTACAATGCATATTACTTTTCAGAGAGACTGCTTGTTTTCAGCAATGCCTACATTGGTGATTTCAGTGTCTTTATTGCCACAGGCCAAAAGATGCAGTAAAAGCTTTGAAGAAAAGGATTTCCAAAAACTACAATCATAAAGAAATACAACTTACCTTGTCAGTAAGTACTTTAATGGTATAATTAAGAATGTAGGATTTCCCAAGCTATAGTTAAATTGTTAATCCTGGGTAAAAATAAAATGCAATATTCTGAGATAACTAATAAGTTAGCAAAGATTTATGTGCAGTATGAGTTAAAACTCTTATTGAGAATTGCAGAATAAATAATTAGTTGATTGTTAATTGTAATAGTTGATTGTAATAGCATTTAATTTCATGGAATGAGTTTGTTCCTGGAAAACCAGTTTCTCCTGGTCAGGAGATAGGAATTGGTGGTTAAAAACTTGTATTGTAGCCGGGCGCGGTGGCTCACGCCTGTAGTCTTAGCTCTCTGGGAGACCGAGGCAGGCGGATTGCTCAAGTTCAAGAGTTTGAAACCAGCCTGAGCAAGAGTGAGACCCCCGTCTCTACTATAAATGGAAAGAAATTAATTGGCCAACTAAAAATATATACAAAAAAAAATTAGCCGGGCATGGTGGCGCATGCCTATAGTCCCAGCTACTCGGGAGGCTGAGGCAGGAGGATCGCTTGAGCCTAGAAGTTTGAGGTTGCTGTGAGCTAGACTGACGCCACGGCACTCACTCTAGCCTGGGCAACAAAGTGAGACTCTGTCTCAAAAAAAAAAAAACACAAAACTTGTATTGTAGATGTTGAACCCGTCAAGAGGTTTGTATATGTGTTGATTAACCATAGTTGAAGATGGGGAGAATTGAAGTCTTGAAACAGTGCCTCCCTGTTAGCTTTCTACCTCACTTAAACACATTTGTGAAATCCTGAGGTGCTGCTCTGAGCTCATTAAATATTAGCCAGGTTCTGCTGCCTAGTGTAATTGGACAATGTTCTTGTTGATTTAAGCAATTTTCCTGTGCATCCTATTGTCTGTGATTTGGGTATGGATTCTTATTTGATGCATTCCCATTTTCTCCTGTCCTTGGCCATATGACCTCTTCAGTCACGTTGGTGAGTTGCCCTGTTTACTTTAGTATGTCCTGCAAGCCCTGCCTGCTGCCTGAGAGCGAGCTGTGTGGCTTTCTAATTTCTTCTGCACGCTTTTGTTGAGCCCAGCCCAAGACCACGCATGGTTGTGGCACTAATCAGCCAGCATCACACCGCTCTTAGGAGCTTTGGAAGTATTTATCAAGAATGCTATGGAGCAGATATGAGCACAGCTCCTGGTTTCTAGTTTCATGTAGAAAAAAATTTATCACATCTTGCATACTTGGAAACTCACTGAATGAGAAGAAATAAATTGAACAGTCTTCACAATTTGATCACTAAAGAAACCCTTCAAGTTGGGATCTGAATATAGTTTAAGAGGCATTTTCCTCCTCACCTTTTCCTCTGTCCTTAACTCATGACAGCCACCTCAGGAAAGTCACAGAATAGAGGACACTATGGGGAGAGGAGTAAGGCACTTCTGTACAAATACAAGAATGATGAATCAGTGATGGAAATGCCCAGCACCTGACTGATGCTCTTAACAACTCTGTGAAGTAGTTGTATTATTAACTCCATTTCACAGATGAAGAAACTGAAACCAGGAGAGGTTAAGCAATTTTTTCCAAGTTCAAATGGCTATAACATAGCATAGGCAGGATTGGAACCCAGTCCTCAGATTCTGAATTTCATACCCTTACCTCATACCACTTTGCTTCTCAGAATGAATTGAACCTTTTATTATAAAAGAAGAGGCTTTTGTATTTCATTTGTATCTTCAACTCCTTCCTAGTGATGCAGTGCTAGATATTTCAGATATTGACTGAATTAATGATTAAGTACCCCATACACACTCCTCATCCCATCTCTCTAGGTATCCAGGAAGACTCAAGGGCTAATAGAAGGTACTGCAGAACTGGGATAGAGATATATAGATGTGCCCTACAATGAGGTGGATCTAGGATTATCTCAAAGCTGCAGAAGGTTATGAGAACAGAATGAGGAAGATAAGGGCAGAAGATGAATTTATGCCTCCTTCCATATCTCAGCATGGGGCATTATTGTGCCTTCTTTCAGTTGTTTACCCTTCATAATGGTTTGCCTCTTCCTCTGTGTGTCCAGCCTACTTGACATTTCTGTGGTTGCGTTTTATCCACATCTCTGTATCTTTCTCTGTCATGATTCCTTCCCTCTGAGGATGGACCAGGGCCCTTCCCTGAAGAAGTTAAGCTGTCTCAGAGTATTGTCTCTTTGGACCCTCCATTTCTCTGTGGGCTCCCACTCTTTCTTCTCTTCAGGTAGTCAAATCTCTCAAGCCTTACTCTCAGCAGTCTGCCTGTTCCCATAATCTGTTCCACCTCAGATAACTGTAGCTCCTCCGCCTCATGACTTCCATACCAGAACTGACTTTAATATTCACTTAAGCCAAACTTAATTATGAGGGAAATTAGTCACAGAAGGAATCACCCAGTGTCTGTCAAAGGCAATTATAAGTTTACTAGTAAACTCTTTAAAAAGTAATCCTCACATATGACATTTCTATTTTATTACTGTGAAGTGATGAGAGCCAAAGTCAATTATAAATGTTCTTTATATTATCTGTCATTTTGGGTTCTCTGTGGACTTGTTAGCCTTGATTAGGTCGTTGATGGAATCTGACTGTACCATGATTCCTGCCATCAGTCAGTAGATCAGTTTTGTCAAGAAGCCAGTGGTGTTGTTTTATAAAGAACATTTTGTTACCAGGCTTTATTACTTGGAGGCAGAGTGTAGTCTTTTCTCAATTGTGATAAGTTTCATCGAGATACTGCTGCTATTGTCAAATAAAAAGTGGTCAAACAGGTTCCTGGGAACTAATTAATAGGCCTTTGTGGAGTACCTACTAAGTGGTGAGCTCTGGGGGTTTCAGAAGAAACACATTTATGTAAAATGTGGTGGTCCCTCCAGCAGCTTGTTGTACTTCCAGAGAGTGAGAAGACCAAACTCTCTCCTAGGAGAGTCATCATAGGACAGGGTAGCCATACCTTGATAGAGACACCATGGTGGTCTGGGTGTAGTCTTTGGCTCTGATGGCCCTGAAATCTGGTTGTTGTCACTCTGCCTGGCTTAGAAATTTACTGTGAGAAATAAAACTGCCAAGTAGCTGTTTTCCTTCTAGCCTCTCTGAAAATACACATATCAGCTAATCAACACATTCTGTCTTGCTAGGAAATTCTCCATGGAGGAAGATGTTGGAAATAGAACAATTTTTTGAGGTCCTGCTTTGTTGCAGGCTCTTTATATACTGTATAATATAGAGACACACACATATATACATATGCACACACATATTTCATATATAATACATGTATATTATATTTCATTTGATCCTTACAATAAGCTTCTAGAGGGAGGTATTATGCCCATTTTGCAGACAAAGACATCCAGGCTAGCACAAAAGGAGATCAGTGAAGCCTGCAGTCACTCACTTCCATCTCTCTCGATTCCTTGGTTCCTAGGTTCTCTGTTCCACCTCAGAATATAGATTCTTGGTTGTCTTGTTTCCAAAGATAGGTAATCTGAACACATTTGCACCAAAGCTGAATTTCCAAGTATGTAAAAGTAACACATTTAACTTTTCCAGTTTGCCACAGTAGGTTGTATTACTTATCTAAGTGGGCTGGGGTGGGGGGGGTAAAAGAGGTACTGGTAACATAATGGAGGAGGTGAAATAGAAGTAATTGGTCCTGACATCCTTGATTCCAATGGGAAAACACAAAGGGCATGATTGCTGATCTCCAGATGTTAACAGTTTCAGCATTTCGTGTTGACTCTTTGATGTCGTGCATGTATCTCCTGGGAATGTTACCCATTATTATAAAACCTTTTTGCCCCATAGATAAAAATTGGTTTGTGGAATATTTACTCAGGGAAAGAAATTTACTCAGGAAAAGTGAGACTTAGAGGCTAGGTATCTTGCCTAAGACCACAACTAATTGGGTGAAATATTTTTATAAACTCATATTGAACTGGAGGTACTTTTTTCTCTCAGCATTTCACCCATTAAAAACTCATTATAATAATCTATCAAGCTAAATGTCATTTGTTACTCAACTTTCCAACTTTGTCTAACCAACTTGTATTAGGATAGATTCATCTTAATGTTTGGGGTTTTGTTTTTATTTTCCTTTGCCTTAAAGGTTTTCTCTGTGTTTCACATAGTTGCATGTGCTAACTATGTAGCACTCTGTACTCTCTGAGTGCCTTCTTGGTTATGTTGCCTTAAAACTGTAGGTTTCATACCTGCTGCTGCTTTTTGCATTGCCGTTAAAGTGACACTCAAAATACAGAGCATGGTGTGTAGTTAATGTTCAAGGCTACTTTTCTGCAGAGATGATTATACCTCTCCTGGTCATGTTTCGGTATCTTTGATCTCTCTAACTGGAGGGGGTAGCATGGAAACTAGAGATTTAATTTTGCTTTTAGATTACTTTTAGAAATCTACTTTCTGCGTGCAGTTCTTCAATACCAGCTCATTCTTTCTAGTCTGGTTTCTGCTCTTGTTGCTTTATTGAAAATGTTTTCAAGGTGATGCCGCTAATGAATAAAATCAGGTGATTTTCCCTCAGCCCATGTTCTTAACTGTTTAATACTGCTTCCTCCTGGAAACTCCTGTTTTGACTTTACCAGTGTATGTTCTCTTTATTTAGAGCTTCATATTCTATTGGTTGCTCTTTGATTGTCTTCCTTGAGTTTCTTCTGGCCCAGGTAACAGAAGAACTCCCATGTTCCAGCCATTCCTCCTCTTTGCTCATCGTAGGCTACCTTTATGATTACTTATGGCCCTTCACTCTCCAGAACTGTGGCTGTGCATGGACAGCTCTCTGCTAAACATCTACTTGAATGACCCACTATCCTTTTAAACTCAAAATATCTCAATTTCAACCCATCATGTTTATCCCTAGACCCACCCATCCCACCCACTTCCAAATTTCCATCAAGGGTGTCCTCAGCCTTATACAGAATGAACGTCACAATGTTTAGTTATCTTCCTTATTCAACACTCAGTCATTTGAAGTTCTTCCTTTATAATTCTCTCATGACTCTCCCTTCCTTGTACCCACATCATCTTAGTTTAGGCCTTTTCTGCATCATGCTTGTACTAGTGGGTCCCTACTGGAACTTTCTGTCATTCTAGGCTTTTTCACCCTCCAGTTTCCTTTGTAGAGTGCTGCCTGACTACCTTTCCAGAATATTAATTACTTTGCACACCTTAACCTTTTCCTCAAGTTCAGGATAGAGTTGTGACAGGAACAAGCTAACAAAAACCCTTCAGGGGCTTTTTTAGTGCCTTTAAGATAGCATCCAAACTCTTTACGCTGCCACACAAAGTTCTCTACACTCTGGATGACACCCTGAAAGACTATCCACTCTACCTCCCCACTATCCCCTGTTTGCCTGTATCAAGAAGCCTCTACTAGAGACAAACCAGAGTACTTATCTCCCCCATAACTCATACGCTTTGCCACCTTTATATATTTTTCATACCATTTATGTCTAGAATATAGCTCTATACTCATTTTCACTTAGGTATTTTTTCAAAGCCCAGCTTAAGACCAGCTTTTTCCCAAAGTCTTGTAAGACCACCTGGCCCTACGAATTGCACTTGCCTATAAAGGTCTACTGTTACATAGCTAGGGTGACTGTGCAATTTATCACCAAACCAGGACATTTTTGAAAATAAAAGTGTGTATCATCATTAACAAAGCCAGGAAAATAGGAATATACCAGGACTACCCTGGATAAACTGGACAGATGTTACCCTGTCTATAGCTCATATGTTTTGCCTGCACTTCCCTTTAGTATTCTGCATTTATTACCTTGTATTACTATTCATGCTCTTCTGATTGTCTTGGGACTCCCCAATAAGTTTATCCTCTAGGCAGTTATATTATGCTTATACTTCCTTATTCCCCAGAACTTAACATTTTGCCATGTATTTTAGTAGATATGAAATTATGTTTGTTAATTAGAATGTTGGTAGAAATCATTATTTAGCAATTTTTGCCTTATATTTAGGAGGTGGTTTTGCCAGAGAAATATAATGTTTAATTTTTTTTCTTTATTTTAGCTTATTGACATGTGCATGCAGAACTGTGGTCCTAGTTTCCAATCTTTGATTGTGAAGAAGGAATTCGTTAAAGAGAGTCTAGTTAAGCTGCTGAATCCCAGATACAACTTGCCATTGGACATTCAGAATAAAATCTTGAATTTCATTAAGGTAAATCTGATGTATACCACATGGGATGGCAAATTTCTAAGGTCAGGGATTTAATTTTAGCATACCTCTAAAATCGTTTCAGTGATCTTTTATATACCTAGGATTGAACCAGAAAGCATTTTTACTGTTTGGGTTTCTTTGTAATAATATTTTCTTGGCAGGCATTAGATGGTGCCCTTTTTCTGAAGAATTTGTAGTCGTTGCCCTACTTCCTCATAGTTTCTATTTTATCCATGTCAGATAGGGCAGATAGTGATGGGTATGTTTATTTTGCAAGTATGGAAACTATATTCTGGGGCAGATAACTGACTAGTTCAAGGTTACTTGGCAAAAGAGCTACTGATGCTATTTTAGAATCTAATAATTTTGTATTCAATATAGCAAAAAACACTGATAGATATTATCTGTCAAACCAAGGTTTCATCAGTAAGTTAAAGCATGGGAGTCTGGTTTAAAATATTTTATAATATTCTGGCCTTTGAAAAATTAGCATTTTATCTATGGCATTCAAAAGTAGCTTTCTGAGTAAGGTATATGATAGTCAATCTCATTTTCTATCACAAGCTTAAAAATTGTGTTTTGTTTTTGTTGCTGTCTTAACTCTGGAACTTTCCATCTCTTGAATTCAGACGTGGTCACAGGGTTTCCCAGGAGGTGTGGACGTAAGTGAAGTGAAAGAGGTGTACCTTGACTTGCTTAAGAAAGGTGTTCAGTTTCCTCCTTCAGATGCAGAGGCAGAAACATCAGGACAGGAGGTAGGAGGCCTTTCTTTGACTTGTGGAGAATATGATAGTATATTATTTGGGTCTTTTCTCATTGCAAGAGATACCCCTACCTCTACCCAGCTTATTCAAAAAGATGAATTTATGAGAAGGATATTGCAATATCTTGTGGAATAACCAACGCTTAGGATTTTGGTAAGCATTGGTTATTTCAATGCTTAAAGTGGAATTTGAGGTATAATCTGGAACCTTGTTTAGCATGCTCCATCCTAGACTAAATCAGAATCTTCCTTTTTACAAGATTTCCAGGTATTTTCTCTGCATATTAATGTTGAGAAGCACTGGCCTGGAGCCCCAAGCTTTGGGCTCTCTACCTTAGGTTGGAGATCAGGCATTGACTCAGGGAGGTGTTCACTGGTGGAGAAGGAGATGCCTCGCCAGTTTTGGCTTTAAAAGACTTGACATGAATTGATTTACCATTTGTTTTTAACAACTCAAAAAGAGGGCAGCAATAATCCCACATGGCAGTTTATCCAGGGGTCCTCAAACTTTTTAAACAGGGGGCCAGTTCGATGTCCATCAGACCATTGGCCGTTGGAGAGTGCGGCACACATTCCACACATGCACACTGTGGGCCCCGATGAGTCGGCTGCTAAGCAGGACAGGCAGCAGCTGCAAAAACACCCGGGGGTGGGGGGGGATAAATGTCCTTGGCAGCCGCATGTGGCCTAAGGGCCATAGTTTGAGGACTCCTGGGACCCTTGGTAAAAACCAAAAGCATTTTATTAAATTGTAATTCAGTTAATAATCCTCCTAATAGCAGCTGCCTTTTATTGAATATCTGTTCTATTAAGGCATCTCATTTGTTTAGCACTCTTCTCAAAATGCTGGACAAGTTGTATACTTAATAATTTACTTTGAGCTAATACCCTCTACCCAGGACTTTGGTTGAAAGTGCTTGAATTAACGGAATGGGAAAATTGGGTTGGGGTGGCTATGTTAATTCACATAATAATATTTCCATATTTCATATTGATAGACTGCTCAGATCTCATCGAATCCACCAACATCTGTCCCTACTGCACCAGCCCTTTCTCCTGTAGCTGTTCCCAAGAACTCTACTATTACATTGGTTCCAGAACAGGTAACAACAACCACCACTGTATTTATTGATGTCTTTTCTAAGTTGTTAGCATTTTATATACAATTCATTTTTCTTGTTAACAACATCATGGGAAGTAGGTATAATATTACCCACACTTTACAGAGGAGACTGAGGCTTAGTGATACTATGTGACTTATTATGGTTCAGTTGTAATTGGAATCAATCCAATAGATTCTCTCTGATTCCAAAGCCCAAGCTTTTAAGAGTTGTGCTTGGCTAATGGCTTTCATGGCTTTGTGGAGCTTTGGCTGTGGACTGGATCTTGTGACTACCAGCTGATTCCTGTTGCTCTTGGTAGGACTGGCCATGTATCATTTCAGAGAGCTCAGTAAGTCTTATTACTTGTATTGTGCTAAATAAATTGCATTTACGTCTTTGTCTATATCTGTTTATCCAAGGTTGAGATAAGCAGTTATTATATGAAGTTCATTCATTTCTGTCCTGCTATAGGGAACTATCATTGAAGACTTTGTTTTATTGTTTTTCTTATATAAAAATCCATGTGATTAATTCCTATTAGAATTTAATCCAGGTGAAAAGTGTTTTTCTCTTTATTCCTCCTCCTCTAACACCATGAGAACTATATAACCCTTATTTTTTTTTTCCTTTTTCCTATTGGTTGCCAAGAAACTCAGCATAACATATGCTATTTTGTCCAGTTTCCTTCTTTTATGAGGTACCTAGTATCTTCTCCATATTGGTTCTAATCTTTTTTTCTTTATTTATTTTTAACTTTCCTAAAGCTTCTGTGGGTTTATTACAAGAAATCTCAAGTTTTTTTAGAAGGTAACAGGGTATACTTTTGTAACATTTACATGTAAGTTTGAAAATATTAAATTTTTCAAAAGCATTTTCTCTTCTAGTAAATGTACTATGGGAACAGGAAAACAAGGTAGCCATTCTTTGTGTGACACACTTACTGACTGGTGATTGTGTTGTGCTCTACAGATTGGAAAATTGCACAGTGAATTGGATATGGTTAAAATGAATGTGCGAGTGATGGCTGCCATACTGATGGAGAATACGCCTGGATCTGAAAACCAGGAAGACATAGAGCTTCTGCAGGTGTAGTATGATTTCAGGGACAGTCAGTCAAAGTCTCTCTTAAAGTTATTCTTTAAACTTTGACCTTTGGAGGTAGAAGACACCTTAATATTATCTAGTCCATCCTCTCATGTTCAGACTCAAATGATTTCTAAACTTACAAAAAGATCCAAGAATGACTTTATCAGAAATGGAGTAGTAACATAGACATGGTCTTTCCCCTTCTTGCCACAAATAATTTATTATAATTTATAGCCTTGGTTGTATACAGTCCAGTCTCTAATTGTTTTAGGTGTATAAAAACGATGGCCTCTGTATTCTATTCTACAAATATATTCAGTAACTATGATGTGGTAAAGAAAGTAAAAATGAAAAGGAGGCTTTACGACGTAAGTCGTTAAGAACTTATGTCTAGTGAGCAAGATTGGTTTGTATAACAACAAACATGATTAAGTATTATAGATGGTATATTATAAATTTGTTCAGTACGTGGTGGGATCATGGGCAAGGACAAGCAGAAAGGTGAGGATTTTAGGTGGAGGAACAAGGCTGTGGAGGAACGAGGAAACGGTGTTTGGACCTTTTGTGAACATGTGAAGAAAACCATAAGTCACTCTACAGCCTTCTTTTATATCTTCTTTTATATCTGTACATTCTTTTATATCTGTACCTTCTTTTATATCTGTACATTCATGTATTTTACTTTTTCCCTCTGCTGGTTTGTTCTTCTAATTCTTAATTTTAAATTTTAATATTTATTAATTTTAGAAAAAGGGAAAAAATCATTATCTAAGTCTTTTTTTCCAAATAAGAACCTTATGATAGTTTTACTTTTCTCAGACTCCCCTCTTCCCACTTCTCATGTTTGTGTTATCTTTCCTTTAACTTTTTAAGTTGTTAGTAAATAACACTTTTCTAGCTCATTTCTTATTTGGAAAACAAAAAATTGTAAAAATGTCCTCAGCAGTGCTTCTTGTATATCAGTACCATCTCCTGGAATCATTGCTTTTTTCCTTGCTGAGGTGCTTCCATGTTGGTAAACTGTGGTGGCAAACTTTTGAGTGTGGGCATGTCCAAAAAAGTCTTTTTGTTGCTATGTTAAGTATTAGGTAGTTTAGCTAGATATAAAATTCTGGGTAAGAAATTCTTTTTCTGAAGTCCTTTGCAGATACTGCTGCATTGTTCTCTTGCACCCAATGATGCTGATAAGAAGTATATTATTCTGATTCTTACTCCTTTGTTTTATAATCCATTTTTTTCTAGTTGCATTTATTTCTCTTTACCTTAATATTTCTTAAATATCTCTATACCCTGTCAAGAATATGTGTGCATGCATGTGTATTTAATTATCTTGTTTAGGAGTTGATAGGCTTTTTTGCCTTATCAAGTTATGTATATTTTTAGTTCTAGGAAGTTCTTGGCTCTTACTTCAATTATTGCCTTTCTACCATCCTTTCTATTCTTTTCTTATGAAACTTTTTTAGATGATGAAACTTCCAATTGAATTCATCTATCCTTTAACATTTCTTTTATGCTTTTCATCTCTTCATAGTTTTGTGCTACAGATCTATGATAATTTCTCTATTTGATATATTTCTCTAAAACATGTGCCTCAGGTTGTCTATTCAATCCTTCTAATAAATATTTATTTCAACACTTACACTTTTTATTTAAAAAAATCAATAAATTTATCATATATAAATATATTTCATTTTAATGTTATTTACATGTAAATAATATAAATATAAAGATATCTTTTTAAATAATTGGATTTTTATAATAGTTCTTTTACTAAATGATTGTACTTTATCTTTCTTAGGATAGTAATTATTTTTAAAGTTGCTTTCTCTTTGTTTTGTGTCTTCTCTTTTGCAAATTCTTTTGTTCATCACCTCTTTAATTTGCATTCCTCAGATGTCCAGCTGGATTGCTGATAGTGAGTTCATTTTTGTGTGAGATTCTCTGCCAGCTGGTCCACATTTTCTGCTGACCCAGAGAATGCCCATGCCAAGGGGAGAATGTAATTGCTACAGCTGTGCTTGATACTGTTTTCAGTGTATGGGGTGTCAGCATGGGCTAATACTGGGAGGGTTACACTGATAGCTGGTCTTCTGAATTATATGCTTTAAATTTTATTCCTGAAAGTTCCCAGCACCTGGAAATAATACCCTCCCTCTCTGTTCCAATCATTGTTCCTTCCTGGAAACATTACTGCTGTCTCAAGCTATCTGGTCTTGGTTGGGGAAAGTAGCATGAGCAGGGGTTATCTTGCTTTTGTTTCATTGCTGTACCTCAACCAATCTGTTAGGTCACTATGTGCCAACATGTTCTCTGCTTCTGCAGTTCTTAGGCATGGAGCACCGTTCCTGGTTCTTCCATGTTCTGTGGCAGTACTCATTGTGAGCAGTCCTCAATGTCCTGGGTTGTGCTTTCCTCTAATTCAACAGTTAGCAAATTGCGGCCTGTAGGTCATATCTGGGCCTTGCTCTGTTTTTGTGCTGTCTACAGGCTCAGAAGGGTTTTTTAAAGTGTTGTTTAAAAAAATAATAAAAACAAACCAGAAATTATTTCTCAAACTATGTCTGTGCAAGTCTAGACCTAGAGACCACTGGGGACTCCAACATTCTCTTAAGGAACTCCTTGCCACTCCCCACCCCAACATTAATGGATGTGAGTTTGAGGTCTTTCAGGTGTGTAGGGATTAGAAGAGGGTTTAACCCAAAACTTGGGAGTGTAAAGTTCCAGGTGAGGTAAGAGCTGATTTATATAGGTTATTAAGGACCTTTATACATGCCAAAGAGTGTGCTTGATTAGGATGGTAGAAGGGAGCCATTAAAAGGATATAAGCTGAGGGGCTACATAACCAGACCAGATTTCAGAAGGATCCTTCTGGTGTCATTGAGATGTTAAACTCTGGGGAAGTAAGACTAGACTCTAGGAAATAACTTAAGAGAGCATTTTTCATTGGTCTTATGCTGTGTTCTCAGGGTAGAAAATGACATCTGTGGTCAAATAAGTTTGCAAAATCAATTGCCTCTTGGAGGTTCATAAAGTTCATTGATACAGTAAAAGTTCTAAGATTCCATGTTTAACCCAACATCTACAGACTTTTCTGACAAAAGAATCTCCATGTGCTGTGTATCTGTCAATATTCTACAGAGCATGAGAGTAGTATACCTTGAGAAACAAATCAATATTTTGGAGCAGTGGCTTTAAATATATTACTTTTAGAATATCTTACCTAGGAGCATTATAATATATCATTTTGCTAAATAAGCGTCTGGGGTTCTTGGTTGTAGGCAAGTTACTTACTATAATTAACATTGGACATAGTTTCTGTATGTATAAATGAGGAGCTTAGATACTTAGTAAATAAAAGTAATATTAAACACATCCTATTTATATAGGAGATGAAAAGGAAAGTTAATCATTAAGTAGAGTTTATTTATAGTAATCCTTTTTTTTAAAAAAACCCACAATTAGAGGCTTTTACAAATATAAAGTTTTAACCTAAAATTTAAAAATTCAATATCAAAGTAAAAGGGTATTTTAGATACGGCAGATATTTTTTAAAAATGGCCACAGCAGTATTTCTAGTTCTACCTGGTCTTCCCAGGCCTTTCAGAGTTATAAAATGAAATGATTTATGACTTTTTTCTCATGTTCTCATCCATCTGTGGCAAATAGTCCTTCCGTAAAAATGTATACTGAAACATTCCATTTAAATATGTGAATCTAGTTTTGTATTTTATTCCAGCCTGTAGTACACTGAAATGCCTTTTTGTCTCAGAGTGTTTGGGTACAGATGTTTGGTTTAATTTTGCAAGGATAATGCCAATTTGTTGGTTGCTGTTTTAATGCCAGAGCTCAAGGCTGTGTATTGCCTTGAATAATAAAGACACTTAGGTTGTGAATCAACATTAGACTACTACTCATGGCCAATTCAAATTGAATGGGTTCTGGCATCAGAGCAACTTGTTTATAGAGACTATTGAATGTGTAACTTTATTTTTCTTTCTATGCTTTTTGTTAGTAACAGGTAAAGATCTGGTGTGGGAGTGCTCTTCTTAATTTCTTTTGACAAATATTTGAATTTTTTTTTTAATCTAAATAACTCCACTGTGGTTGATCTGAAATAATATGATGGAATTTTCTATGTGGAAAAAGGACAAGGATGAAGCCAGCAAAGATAGATTATGGGGAAACAAGGTAATTCTTTACCTTGTACTTTTTCAAAAGTTTTCTCACACCTGTTAGAGTTAGAACCTACAGGTAGTGCTAGATCCCTGGATGGCTACCCTCATATAACCGCAGGGGCTTTTGGAGGCTTTAGCCTGAGCCTAGGGTGTCATCAGAGCAGGAGACAACCGGGTGGGGGGCAGTGAAGGCCCACAGGCACACTTGGAGGGAAGTGGGAGTGCAACTACAAAAAATTGATAAAAGTATCGGAAATCAACTATGAGTTGTGAAACAGACTTTTCCCCCCTAAAACCAGCTAATAACCACAGTTATTTTTTAGCTTGCTTAAATAATAAATTTACCTCTTCTTTCTTTTTCAAATCCCATTGAAATAACAGAAGAAATATGAAAATAAGAATAAACCCCAGTGATTACAGGAAAGGCTAGATAGACCATCAGGCAACCAGAACAGTGAGAATGAATAGTGGCTGATAAACCAGGTGGGATCCGACCAACTAAGGAAACCACAGCCCTGCCCAGGTGAAAGGGACCCTAAGTGACTTTCCTGGAGGCAGCTCATGCTAACTTCAAAATCAGAGTAAAATTGGATGGCCCTAGAGCACTTGTGATTAAGACAGCTGCTTGTGTCCTCCACTGTCTGAGCAGGGAACTTCCACTGTCGCTGTTCTGGCCAAAAGAAAGGACTGTCCTCCAAATAACTGGTGGATTCTAAAAGAATCTAGGAACCTCTGCAGTCAGAAGGAAAAAATGACCAGCACTCCCTAGGGTTTTTAAACTTGGAAGGCACACAGCCTCATCTCTACAGATGAGGATGTGGTATG